GGTTATTATGTCTTATCTCCCGTGAAGTCTTAATGCCAGCTTACCTCAATACAAAACACGCAGTCTAATTTTTTTAAGCTTATCTTCTGACGTCAACAGCCTAAATCCAAAAAAATGTTGTCCTATATGGCCATCAAAACAATCTTTTTTATATGAAGTCTCCAGAACTAGAGCCATAATTGTTTTTTCTCTAACAATGGCAAAACGTTTTTATTTTTCATATCTGAACAACAAGCACTGCTCAACAACAAGAAACAGAAGATAAAAGTGTTTTAGATATTTCTATATGATTTTTGCTAGCCATTATTGCACTTTATGAATATTCAAATGGATTATGATTATGGTTTTATGATTATATAACTATGATTTACAATACTTCCAGCTGTTTGTGTGAAAAGAAACATGCTTTGGCATTCATAACAACTTGCAAATCTTTCTGTTGCATTTGATGTAAGGCTGCGCAGTATTAACAGCCACTGGAAAATGTCACAGCGTCTCATTAAATTCTTAGCAATTTCCAGCAATGCCTAATCACCTTCAAAAATTGCACGGGGAAAGAAATAAACATCACGTTATGTAATAAGTTTAAAGACATGGAAGCTGCTTCAATGTGTTATATTAAAAGGGGTAGAGGAATTATGCAATGGACACATGCCAATTCTTCAATCAGAAAATACCAAGAAAGGGGGGAGAGAGAGGATAGAGAGCAAGGGAAAGAGGCTGAGAATCTTGTTTTGTTGCTGTAGTGTGTACTCCAATCATGAATAGATGTTTCTTAACCCCTTCAATTAATTGGACAGGACCTGATGATCGGGCTTAGCGAATCACAGTACAGAGCCCTGTGTTTACTAACAACACAGGGTTCTGTACATGGAGCAGCAATGTGGCATTTTTTAAAAACAGCCAAAGCTCTTAGTAAAAGCAGTACACATTGCACATTGTAAAGCACAGTTAACCCTTTGTTTTCCACTAAATGTTAACCCCTTCCCAGTCAGTGTCATTAGTACAATGGACAGTGCATAACATTATCAGTGATCACTGTATTAGTGCCACTGGTGTCAGTAATTCAGATCCCACCTAGTGTCAGTGTCAGATTGCCCACTTCACTATCACAGTCGCATTATAAGTCGCTCATCACCACCATTACTAGTGTTAAATAAATAAATAAATATTCCAGTATATACCCATCATTTGTTGACGCTATAACTTTCACACAAACCAATCAATATACACTTATTGGGATTTTTTTTTATACCAAAGACATGTAGCAGAATACATTTTTGCCTACGTTTATGAAGAATTTTTTAAACGGGATATGTTTTATAGAAGAAAGTGAAAAAAATATTGTTTTCTGTCTTTTTTTATTTTATATAATAAAAAATAAAAAACCCAGTGGTGATCAAATATAACCAAAAGAAAGTTCTATTTGTGTGAAAAAATATATATAAATTTAATTTGGGTATTTGGGAGGATATTGAAGAAATGACTAAAATGCATGGATGAACTCAGCTATTAGGAAATATTAGCTGAACTGAATGTATTCTCTCGAGAAGAGGTGATTTGATCTCTATGTATAAATACATAAGTGGTCCATATAGTGAACCTGGTTATTCAGTTTCTGGTCATCAATGAGGACAAGGGGACACTCTTCATGTCAGGAACAAAAGAGATTTAACCTCCACATATGGAATTATTTCTTCACAGTAAAAGCTGAGAAAATGTAGAACAGATTTTATCAAGAATTAGTTCTGGCAAGCTTAGTAGAAAGATCTGGATGCATTTCTAAATACAACAAATATAACTGGATATTACCAGTTATAGGCAATAACACCAGGAATAGTTGATCCAGGGAATATCCCATTGTCTTCTGGGGGAAAAGGAATTATTTTTTTTCCCCAAGGTGCAGCAAGTTGGATCATGCTATATTGAGGCTTTTTGCTTTCCTCTGAATCAACTGTGGGTATAGGATTGTGTATGTGGAGGTTTTCTATTTGCTTGTTTTTTTCTATTGTATTGGTTGAGCTAGACGGACTTTTGTCTTTTTCAGCCTGACTAACTACACTATATTGCCAAAAGTATTGAGATGCCTGCCATTACACACACACACACGAACTTCAATGGCATATCACTTTTAGTCCGTAGGACTCAATATTGAGTTGGCCCATCCTTTGCAGCTATAACAGCTTCAACTCTCCTGGGAAGGCTGTCCACAAGTCTTAGGAGCGTATCTATGAGAATGTTTGACCATTCTTCCAGAAGCACATTTGTGAGGTCAGGCACTGATGTTGGACGAGAAGACCTGGCTTGCAGTCTCCACTCTAATTCACCCCAAAGGTGTTCTATCGGGTTGAGGTCAAGACTCTATGCAGGCCAGTCAAGTTCCTCCACCCCAAACTCGCTCATCCATGTCTTTATGCACCTTGCTTTGTGCACTGGTGTGCAGTCATCTTGGAACAGGAAGGGGCTATACCCAAACTGTTCCCACAAAGTTGGGAGCATGAAATTGTCCAAAATGTCTTGGTATGCTGACACCATAGGAGTTCCCTTCACTGAAACTAAGCCAAACTCCTGAAAAACAACCTCATACCATAATCCCCCACCACCAAACGTTACACTTAGCACAATGCAGTCAAACAAGTAACATTCTCCTGGCAACCGCCAAAGCCAGACACGTCTATCAAATTGCCAGGCAGAGAAGCGTGATTCGTCACTCCAGAGAACACATCTCCACTACTCTAGAGTCCAGTGGTAGCGTTCTTTACACCACTGCATTCGATGCTTTGCATTGCACTTGGTGATGTAAGGCTTGGATGCAGCTGTCCGGCCATGGAAACCTATTCCATGTAGCTCTCTATGCACTGTTGTTGTTCTAATCTGAAGGCCATGCAAAGTTTGGAGGTCTTTAGCTATTGACTCTGCAGACAGTTGGTGACTTCTGCGCACTGTGCACTTACAGCATGCGCTGACTCCGCCATTTTACGCGGCCTACAACTTCGTGGCGGAGTTGCTGTTGTTCCCAGTTGCTTCCACTTTGTTATAATACCACTAACAGTTGACCATGGATTATTTAATAGCAAGTAAATTTCATGTATGAATTTATTGCACATGTGGAAACCTATCACGGTACCACGCTTGAATTCACTGAGCTCCTGAGAGTGACCCATTCGTTCACAAATCTTTTTAGAAGCAGTCTGCATGCCTAGGTGCTTGATTTTATACACCTGTGGCCATGGAGGTGATTGGAACACCTAAATCCCATGATTTGGAGGGGTGTCCCAATACTCTTGGCAATATAGTGTATGTAAGCCATGTGTCTATCAAACATTACACAGTGTCACCTCACGCTTAAAGTGTCATTAAACCCACATAATTAAAAACGGTCAATAAATGCTATATTACATGCTGCTCATACTCAGTCGCTACTGGATTTGTTTTCTGTATTCTGCAAAACACCTGGTTAATTATGCTGTTCTCTGTCCCCCCCTTCTGTCCCATGTCCCCACAGCATTTGTTGATTTTTCAGAACAAGGTTGGCAGCTGGTGCATATTTTTAGCTTTCACTGTATTTTCTACCCTGAGCATTTCCCTATCACATCTGAGCAGCCCATGTGACAACAGAGTCACACATATGGGCGTACACACAATGTTAAATGACAGCCCACTCCTTCCCTCCTTCTTCATGTGGGTGTGTACACAGTGGTAAATGACAGCCCACTCCCTCCCTCCTCCTACATGTCCACTAACCAGCTAAACACAATAGGGGTGGGATATTACATCTTGATTAATGGAGGCTTCACCTCCCTGTTATTTTAAGACACAGGCTGGAGGGATATGACACAGCTTGTGACTGGCAGAAACCCACCCACACCATGTTATTGCCAAGATTGCCAAAGATTTAATTTCAAACATACAAATCAAATATACTGTATACTTGTATGACAATTTAAAACAGTGTATTGATATTAGATTTTGCTATTGTTGTTTTTACTCTGTAATCCAGAAGCTGTTTTTTAATGACCAACAGCAGAAGACTAGAAGCTCCTCCTGCCACTGTTTCCCTGCAGGCAGACTGAGAAAGAGCTAGGTTATGTGACAGCTGTATATAATTTTGAAAAAAGGTACTTAGATTTTTTTTCAGTTAAAATCATTACAGTGCCATCATCCATATACAGAAAGAGAAGGAATAATGTAAATTAAACAGTGTGTGTTTAGTATAACTTTAATTAATGCTCCATGTTAAAGTGGTAGTAAAGTCTTGGAACTGAAAATCTGCTGACAGGCAGGGTTTTTTATAACAGAAGAGACTCTAAGGGTTTCTCCTGTCATAAATGTACCCCTTGCCTGTCAGCAGGTAATGTGATCTGAGCCGCACATGCACAGCTCAGACCACATTTATGGCCCACTCTGCGTGCCGCGGCAATGTGATTCCCATGAGCATGTGCGGGAGTGATGTCACCTCCGGCCTGGCGATTCAAGCTGCTGAAGATCGGGAACCGGGAAGGAAGACTGGGTAAAGATGGAAACCGCCAGAGACCAGGACTGCGCTGACAGGGCTCTGTCTGCAGGTAATTCTGTCATAATGTAATAGTATGCAGAGAATGCTAGAACATTATGACCTAAGCCTGCACGGAGAACCATTTTTTAAAAAAAGAATGAAATTTTACCACCGCTTTAAAGATTATATGAGATTTTAGTTTTTGGGTTTATATTTCCTTTAAAATATATAAATAAGCAGAAGGGTATTAAACATTTTCCTAATTTTAGTGAAACTCAAAAAACTGATTAAACCTTATAAAAATTGCAAGACCTATTTTGTGTACATATCGACTGACACATGTAAGAATCAAAATTATGTATCATAATATTTCTCATAAATAGGTACATCTGAAAATGTAGTCGGATATCATAAACGTCCCCAATTAGATAATTCTTATTAGGAATATCAAGCTTAAATTTTGATTCTGTGCTCACAAATTAAAAAAAGTACATATACAACTCACTGCTTCCACCATGGCTACTTATTGCTTCATCCTCAAATATATCAAAGCCTTCCTGACGTGTCTGATTTGTTATCTCGAGCTTCATCATCTCAGTGGGCATCCGTAAGATTGTAAGATTGTACTGGAGCGAGTGACTCAAATCATAACTGTAGCTGAAATTGTAAAAGAGCAGTTAAAATACATACAATCACTGACCATTCTGTAAGAAAAAGCAAACCCTTTCGAACGGGAAAATTATGCTTTTTTTCCCCTATAATGTTCTTTTATGTGGAGGTTTGTGAAGAACAAGAAAAACAATGCAAGAACAGAAATTTGACTTGGGGCCGGTTCAAACCATGAATCGCACATGAATGTGCTGTGCGGTCTTGTGTGATTCAAATGAGATCTGGGTGCAGTCTGATTTCAGCCCATTCGTTTTCAGGAAATACGCATAGAATGCAGGATTTTCTGCACCGCATTCTGTTGTGAACTGGCCTTTAGTCCAGACACTGCAAATAATACTCAATTACAAAATACTAAGACGGATTTTGGACACAAATTGAGCAAGGATTCAGACCCCTATATAAATGTATGGCAGAAGCATGGGAAATGATATTATAAAATATAATTGTATAAAATGATCAATGTAAAGTTGTACAATTTTATTCAAATTAAAAAAATTGTTTGATACAAACAGTGCTTTTTGGACAAAGCTAATACTTATGGAAGGAGAAGAAAAAAATAACAGAAAACCCGTTAAAATATCTAGCACTGCAATGAGGAAAATCAACTGATTTCAGTCACTATGGTGACAACGGGAGAACTGTCCATCAACGTACAGAAGCAGAGCAGAGTGGCATTTTGTTAGATAGTACAGCACTGTGTGAGATGATTAGAGAGACAGGATGGAGTAAGATGAAACAGTCAGCTGAAATGATAGAATTTACGACAAGCTTAATAATGTACTGTATTTGAATGCTTTCTTAGGTATTTCTGTGAAGCCAGTAACGGATTGTGAACTTTAATTACTGTATGCCAGATGACTTGTAGCCTATGTGTGTGAATACAAATGAACTACAATGATCTATGTTCCAATTAACTGAGTCCAACTGTATGTCTGTGCTTAAATGGTTACTATGGCTGCGTTTGGCAAATATTACTTCCGGTTACTAATTGCGTGTTTGACAAGTGTGTGCCTAATGACTCATATCTGCTGCAAAGCAGCTCAATAAAGGGTCTGACATGGGGGCAATGGCTTGCCTTGCACTTAGCACTAAATTCCATTCATTTTATGTATATTAACCTATAAAGAACTGGACTATGTGTAAAAACCAAAGCTCTTTATTAGCATATACATACTGAAATAACATTTATGGATAAGATTGAATGCCTTGTAGCCAACATACTCCATGGAAATGCAAAATGTTAAGCAAATAATATATTTAATTCCATCTTTGCACATATAAACATGTTACAATCATTTCAGCAGACTGAATAGAAGATGAACCAGTACCTGCAACAGTTAATTAGGAAAAAGATTTAATTTGATAAACTGCAGAGAAATAACAGTATGGCATTTGTACAGATACACTATATTGCCAAAAATGTTTGGACACCCCTCCTAACCATTGGATTCATGTGTTCCGATCACCTACATGGCCACAGGTGTATAAAATCAAGCACCTAGTTATTCAGACTGCTTCTACAAACATTTTTGAAATAATGGGTCACCCTTAGAAGCTCAGTGATTTCAAGGGTGGTACCGTGATAGGTTGCCACCTGTGCAGTAAGTCCATCTGTGAAATTTCCTTCCTACTAAATATTCCATGGTCAACTGTTAGCGGTATTATAACAAAGTGGAAGTAACTGGGAACAACAGCAACTTAGCCACAAAGTGGTAGGCCACGTAAAATGACAGAGTAGGGTCAGCGCATGCTGGGCGCACAGTGTGCAGAAGTCGCCAACTGTCTGCAGAGTCAATAGCTAAAGACCTGAAAAATGTACTGTATGTGGTCTTCAGATTAGAACAACAATAGTACATAGGTAGCTTTATGGAACGGGTTTCCATGGCCAAACAGCTGCATCCAAATCTTACATCACCAAGTGCAATGCACAGCGTCAGATGCAGTGGTGTAAAGCACACCACTACTGGATTCTAGAGCAGTGGAGATGTGTGCTCTGGAGTGACGAATCACACTTCTCTGTCTGGCAATCTGATGGACGTGTCTGGCTTTGGCGGTTGCCAAGAGAACGGTACTTGCCTGACTGCATTGTGCCAAATGTAAAGTTTGGTGGAGGGGGGTTGTTTTTAAGGAGTTGAGCTTGGCCCCTTAGTTTCAGTGAAGGGAACTCTTATGGCGTCAGCATGCCAAGTCATTTTGGACAATTTCATGCTCTCAACTTTGTGGAAACAGTTTGGGGATGGCCCCTTCCTGTTCCAACATGACTGCGCACCAGTGCACAAAGACATGGATGAGTTTGGGGTGGAGGAACTTGATCTCATCCCGACAGAACACCTTTAGATGAATTAGAGCGGAGGACTGTGAACCAGGCCTTCTTGCCCGACATCAGTGCCTGATCTCACAAATGTGCTTCTGGAAGAATGGTCAAACATTCCCATAGACACACTCCTAAATCTTGTGGACAGTCTTCCCAGAAGAGTTGAAGCTGTTATAGCTGCAAAGGGTGGGTTAACTCAATATTGAACCCTACTGACTAAGACTGGGATTCCATTAAAGTTCATGGGCGTGTAAAGGCAGGCGTCCCAATACTTTTGGCAATATAGTGTATGTTTTTATCTTGACCTATTTGCTATAGTCACTATATGTAAACCAAAAACTTTTTTATTCGGATAGAAAGAGGAAGTGTTAAAAACCCTTATTGTAAACAAATCCATCCAGGAACTGACCTTGAAAGCCACTGATGGATAATGCATTACTTCCAGTGATAGTGGGCTTCATTCACAAAAGCATATTGTATTTAGGTGTCAGGACTCAGGACACATCTTCCCTAAATATTGCATACGATCCTGAAACTGTCAATTCACTATAATATTTACTGTGAAACACTCGGTAAATACTACATGAAAAAGCATAAACTCAATTCACAGAAGTAAGTAATTAAATGCACTAAGCAATAGTCCAGGCATGCAGTATTTAGGGAATGTAAAAATATAATAGGCAATTTTGAGTAGTCTCTGCTTTTTTGGATCAGTTCTCTCAACAGTAATGCATAGAAACCTAAATAAGGTATGGGGAGGCTGGCTGGGCATTCCTGGTTTAGCCCTGCTGGATTAAGTGATGGACAGATTATAGCTTTGAAGCATTCTACTCCAAATACAGGAAGATTTAGTTCTGATAATAAAATGTGAGCTTTCTGTTTTATTTTATTTTTTTACTTTTTCATTTTTGAGGGCTCAATGACTCCCACAAAGCAAGTCCTAGACAAGCCACCCAATTATATGTAGTACCTTCCATGTGACTAACTCAGCACTGTTATGCTTGTAAGCTTTCTTGAGTGACATACAGTGCCTTGAAAAAGTATTCATACCCCTTAAAAGTTTCCACATTTTGTCATGCTACAACCAAAAACAAATCAAATGTGTTTTATTGAGATTTTATGTGATAGATCAACACAAAGTGGCACATGGTTGTGCAGTGGAAAGGAAATTATAAATGGTTTTCAAAATTCTTTACAAATAAATATCTGAAAAGTGTGGCGTGTATTTTGTATTCAGCCTCCTTTACTCTGATACCCCTAACTAAAATCTAGTGAAACCAATTGCCTTCAGAAGTCACCTAATTAATAAATGGAGTCAACCTGTGTGTAATTCAATCTCAGTATAAATACAGCTGTTCTGTAAAGCCCTCAGAGGTTTGTTAGAGAACATTAGTGAACAAACAGCATCGCGAAGGCCAAAGAACACACCAGACAGGTCAGGGATAAAGTTGTGGAGACGGTTAAAAGCAGGGTTAGGTTACAAAAAATATCCCAAGCTTTGAACATCTCACCAAGCACTGTTAAATCCATCATCTGAAAATGGAAAGAGTATGGCACAACTGCAAACTTACCAAGACATGGTCGTCCACCTAAACTGACAGGCCGGGCAAGGAGAGCATTAATCAGAGAAGCAACCAAGAGGCCCTTGGTAACTCTGGAGAAATTGCAGAGATCCACAGCTCAGGTGGGAGAATCTGTCCACAGGACAACTATTAGTTGTGCACTCAACAAATTGGGCCTTTATGGAAGAGTGGCAAGAAGAAAACCATTGTTGAAAGAAAGCCATAAGATGTCCCATTCGCAGTTTGCAAGAAGCAATGTGGCGGACACAGCAAACATGTAGAAGAAAGTGCTCTGGTCAGATTAGACAAAAATTTTACTTTTTGGCCTAAAAGCAAAACACTATGTGTGGCAGAAAACTAACACTGCACATCATCCTGAACACACCATTCCCAGCATGAAAAATAGTGGTGGCAGCAGTTGTTGTGGGGATGCTTTTCTTCAGCAGGGACAGGGAAGCTGGTAAGAGTTGATGGGAAGATGGATGGAGCCAACTACATGGCAATCTTAGAAGAAAACCTGTTAGAGTCTGCAAAAGACTTGAGACTGGGGCGGAGGTTCACCTTCCAGCAGGACAACAACCCTAAACATACAGCCAGAACTACAATGGAATGGTTTAGATCATAGCATATTCATGTGTTAGAATGGCCCAGTCAAAGTCCAGATCTAAATTCAACTGAGAATCTGTAGCAAGACTTGAAAATTGCTGTACACAGACGCTCTCCATCCAATCTGACAGAGCTTGAGCTATTTTGCAAAGAAGAATGGGCAAAAATGTCTGTCTCTAGATGTGAAAAGCTGGTAGAGACAGCCCCAAAAAAGACGTGCAGCTGTAATTGCAGCGAAAGGTGGTTCTACTACAAAGTATTGACTCGGGGGGCTGAATACAAATGCACACCACACTTTTCAGATATTTATTTTTAAAAATGTTGAAAACAATTTAGCATTTTCCTTCCACTTCACAATTATGTGCCACTTTGTGTCGGTCTATCACATAAAATCCCAATAAAATACATTTACGTTTTTGGAGATGACATGACAAAATGTGGAAAATTTCAAGGAGTATGAATACTTTTTCATGGCACTGTATATGTAACTTTACAGATTGATTGTGAAGTTTGGTAACATCTCAATAAACTTTTTCTCTTGATTAAAAAAAATGGAAATCATTAGGGGTTGATTTACTAAAGGAAACACTTTTTTTTAGTTTTGGATAGAGTGGGGGTGGATTAGAAAACCTGTCAGGTTGTGCTATTAGATTCACCCTTTCTATTTGTCCTGTATACCATTATCATTGAAAGTGAAAGTAAAAGAAAATCCCAAATTTTGGGCTACCCCCAGAAAAGTAATAGAGGGGAACTCTTCCAATGAGGACACAGATGGCAAACAATTAAAAATAAACTGACAGGGTTTATAACCCTCCCTTACTCTTACTCTATCCAAAATGAATAAAAAAAAGTTTTGCCTATAGTTCTACTTTAAGGCAAATAGACTGTGCAATTTTCAAGTTGCTCCAGAGCTTACTACATGAGGTAAAGCTTCACTTTACAAAGAATACCCAATCACATGAAAATAGCATTTTTGCTTGCACATGATTGGATGAGAGAAGTCAGCAGAGCTCCCCTCATTTACTAAGCTCTTGAGTAACTTCACTTGCAAAAAGCTCATTCTATGTGCCCATAGTAAATCCATACCCATTACATTTAGTAAATCCACCCCATTACTGTAGTAAAATATACTTATTTTCTCCTGTCATTCTGTCAGATTTTTAGAGACTTTTTTGTGTATATACAAGCATGTACATAATTTGCTGCAAAAAAAAACCCCAATCACTCCAAACATAATACAATGTACATGCATGTCACAATGGTCTAATCCCTTGTTAGAACATATATGTAGTGGGGATACTTTACTTTTTCACAATTATTTCTAGAGATCTTTCCACTGACAAGTTCCCACTGACAACATTGATCTTTTTAGCTATCTATAAGGGGGTGATTCTTCCCAGTGACCACAATTGTGCGGGGCATTCTTCCCACTGACCATCACACTAATATATCATGAGTTGTAGATACAGTATAGTCATTTTTAGCAGGGGTTCCCTGAGGCTGTAAAGTTATTTTAAAGGTTTATCTACAGTGGGGATCGAAAGTTTGGGCACCCCAGCTAAAAATTTGTATTAAAAAGCCAAGGAAAGATGGAAAAATCTCCGAAAGGCATCAAATTACAGATTAGACATTCTTGTAATATGTCAACAAAAGTTAATTTTATTTCCATCATTTACACTTTCAAAATAACAGAAAACAAAAAAATGGCGTCTGCAAAAGTTTGGGCACCCTGCAGAGTTAATATCTTGTACTGCCCCCTTTGGCAAGTATCACAGCTTGTAAACGCTTTTTGTAGCCAGCCAAGAGTCTTTCAATTCTTGTTTGAGGTATCTTTGCCCATTCTTCCTTACAAAAGTCTTCCAGTTCTTTGAGATTTCTGGGTTGTCTGTCACGCACTTTTCTTTTAAGGTCTATCCATAGACTTTCAATTATGTTGAGGTCAGGAGATTGTGAAGGCCATGGCAAAACCTTCAGTTTACGCCTCTTGATGTAATCCCCCGTGGATTTCGAGGTGTGTTTAGGATCATTATCCATTTGTAGAAGCCATCCTCTCTTTAACTTCAGCTTTTTCACAGATGGCATCAAGTTACCATTCAAAATTTGCTGAAATTTTATTGAATCCATTTTTCCTTCTACTCGTGAGATGTTCCCTGTGCCACTGGCTGCAACACAACCCCAAAGCATGATTGATCCAACCCCATGCTTAACAGTTGGACAGAGGTTCTTTTCATTAAATTCTGTGCCCCTTCTTCTCCAAACGTACCTTTGCTCATTCCGGCCAAAAAGTTCCATTTTAACCTCATCGGTCCACAGAACTTGTTTCCAAAATGCATCAGGCTTGTCTATATGTTCATTTGCAAAGTTCAAACGATGATTTTTGTGGTGAGGACGTAGAAGAGGTTTTCTTCTGATGACTCTTCCATGAAGACCATATTTGTACAAGTATCTCTGTATAGTGAAATAGTGTACCACAACTCCAGTCTCTGCCAGATCTTTCTGGAGGGATCGTACAGTCAAACGTGGGTTTTGAATTGTTTTTCTCACAATCCTGCGAGCTGTTCTGTCTGGTATTTTTCTTGGTCTTCCAGATCTTGCTTTAACTTCCACTGTTCCTGATGACTGCCATTTCTTAATTGCATTCCTGAACAGAGGATATTGACATCTGAAAACACTTTGCTATCTTCTTATAGCCTTCTCCAGCTTTGTGAGCGTCAACTATTTTCAGTTTCAGTTTTCTAGACAACTGCTTAGAAGAACCCATGGTGCTGATTGTTGGGGCAAGGTCAGATGAGTCTGGGCATTTAAAACCTTTGAGATTGACATCACCTGGTCTTCCCAGACGATGATTGAGAACAATCCATGACACTAGCAGGTCTCAGCTTTGCAAAGGGGCAGTGCATGCTATAAATTCTGCAGGGTGCCCAAACTTTTGCAGACACCATTTTTTGTTTTCTGTTATTTTGAAAGTGTAAATGATGGAAATAAAATCTAACTTTTGTTGACATATTATAAGAATGTCTAACATGTAATTTGATGCCTTTTGGAGATTTTTCCATCTTTCCTTGGCTTTTTTATGCACATTAATACAAATTTTTAGCTGGGGTGCCCAAACTTTCGATCCCCACTGTAAGTTGAAAAGGCTGCTTGAAAGTGTAACTAAAGACAAAACTTTATTTTTCATTTTGGAAACAGCAATTGAGGGTTAGAAACCCTGTTAGGTTTTTTTGTTTTGTTTTTTGCCTCCTGTGTCCCCATTGGAAGATTTCCCCTCTTATACTTTCCTGGGGACAACCCAAAGCTTGTTTTTTTTTGTCCACTTCACTTTCATGGTAAACAGGAAAATAGAGAGGGTGAATCTCCCTAATGGGGACAGACAGCAGTAAAAACCTAATACCTCTCTACACTATTGAAAACAAAAAAAAAAGTTTAGTTATACTTTATGTAAATACAAAATATCTTTCTAAATGTCAAATACTGAATGAAAATAGTATTAAAAAAATCCACACACAAATATAAATACCCTTCTTCCACCAATAAAAGGACAATATTGTGGAAGAAGAGTATTTGTATATGTGTGTGATTTTTAATACTATTTTCATTCAATATTCAACATTTAAAAATATATTTTGTGTTTACTTAATTTAACGTAGTTATTTTTGATATACCATGTGTGTCCTGTGGAAGCAGATTTCCTCTTACTGGTATTCCAGCCACTTTTTTCTTTTGAATTAAGCACATACTGTATGCTGTAGGGACCGCACTGACTTGAGTTGGCATATTTCTACGGTTTAAACCAGTTTACCTCTTCATTAGCACTAAAAACTGACAGGGGTTCTACTTCTTCCCCATTGTATCCATCGCACAGGATATCGCATGAGATAAAATGGTTTTACAAGGTAAATATTGCATATTTCAGAAAAATACAGCATTAGGTATTTTAGTAGCCTTTTTTTGTGAATGCAAAAAAAAATGTTTAACCACTTGCCCTTCAGAGGATTTACCTCCTCTTCACGACTAAACCATTTTTTGCGTTATGGAGCTGCGTTACTTTAACTGACAATTGGGCGGTCATGCAATGCTGCACCCAAATGAAATTGTTTTCGCACAAATTGAGCTTTCTTTGGTATTTGATCGCCTGTTTTTTTATTTTTTGCGCTATAAGCAAAACAAATTATAATTTTGAGAAAAAAAATATTTATTTTGGACTTTTTGCTATTAAACATGTCCAGTAAAAAATTTTTAAAAAAATCAAATGTCATCATAAATTTAGGCCAAAATGTATTCTGCTACATGTCTTTGATAAAAAAAAAAAACAATACTTGCAAATTAATTGGTTTAAGTGAAAGTTAAAGCATTTACAAATGCTGGTATAAATAATGGGATTTTTTTTTCTACTAGTAATGGCAGGGATCAGCGACTTTTAACGGGACTGCGGCAAACATTCTGACACTGGGGGGAACTAACTTGGTGTCACTGACACCCCAGTGACACCAATACAGTAATCAGTGCTAAAAAAAAGTACTGACCTGTACTGATGACAATGGGCAGGAAGGGGTTAATGTGAGGGGCGATCAAAGAGTTAACTGTGCTGGGAGTGTTTTACTAGGGGGCAGGGGATGTGTTTTTCACTGTAAGCACACTGATTGATTAGTGTGCTCGAGCTGACAGGGAGGAAGATTGTTTGTAAACAAAACAATTTTCCTCCCAGGATAATTACTGTCCGGGACCTGGTGATTGACATCCGTGGCCGCTCGCGCGCCCCCTACCCGAAATGCACAATGAAATATATATACGTGATCCTGCGTAGGAAGTGGTGCAATAATATGCATTCCAAAGAGTACACCCTCCTGATGAAATCCTCCCACCCCTACCCATTATCTTTTACCTAACCATTTATGACCCCCCTCTCCCCATACACCCACCACCACCACTCACTGATATATTCTTAAAGTGTTACTAAATCCACAACAATAAAATCCGTCTGTATCAATCTGCAACACAAGTGTACGGTTTCCTAAAGTGTTCGTGTTACACACCCGTCAAACAGAGACTACCTTGTACTTACCTGAAGTAAAAATTGCTTGATAGGTCAACATTTTGAAATATTCTTAAATATCTAAGAGCAGAGAAACAAAAAAGAAACAAAAGTATCAGCATAGACTAGGGATATATTATTATTATACAGTATTTATAAAGCGCCAACAGCTCGCTCAGCGCTTTACATTACAAAGGGAGACAGAACATGCGACAGTACAGTAACAATACAATACAATACACGAGGGGTTCGAGGGCCCTGCTCCTTGGAGCTTACAATCTAGGAGGGAGGGGATGGTGGTACAGGAGGAAATGGCTGTGTGGGATGGAGTGGTAGGAAGAGTGGAGGAGATCGGCAATTAGCAGGGGGTGGGGTAGGCTTCCCTGAAGGGTGGGTTTCCTTGAAAGTGACAATGCTTATCACAAAATATAATGATAGTAAAATCAAAGCAGTGTGAATATAAACATGGATTGATGCACTCCTTAAAAGACATGATATATGTAGCAAGCTAAGCAAGGCAACCTCTAGGGCGAAGCTTACAGATGGTTAACCAATCCAGCACAGGGCTGTTGGCGAATAAGCAAGACACAAACCGCTAGTATGGGAATACTGGTACAGAAGAAACTATAGGAGCTTGGAGATGACTACAGAAAATCGGGAAGCTTTAATATAGTAAACTATTTCTAATCAGAAAAGGGGAGCAATCTGCAGAAATGCAGATACTTGCAGATACTTGAAAAATAGTATGTTAATTTAATTATGTTCCTAGGAATGTATGCCTTTAGAGAAACTAAAATACTTGGGGATCATACTTACAAATTATGAAAAAAGGGAAAATGCGTTTTTACCTTACGTGCAATATTTTCCCATAAAGGAAATGTCTCGGTCATAAGCCGTAGCTAATGACTTCAAGTAGAAGATTTCATGATCAAGCAGTGAAAGTGAAAGGCCTCCTCGGGGTTGCTGGGCTTCATGATGCTTGTTTTCATTATTCAATGGCATAGTCAGTGACTTAGGAGTAACTCAGAGTAGATCTGCTGATCGAACAATTCAACAAGGGCACATGGAAGTGTTTTGGACATATAGATGCCCCTAGAAGGGTTTCATTATTGCTAATCCAATGATATCTTTCTGAGAACAGACTTAAGGTAAACCTAGAAACATCTCCAAATGTGAAGCCACTGCACGTTTATTTAATTTACTTATAATGCGTCAATAAATTCCACATTGCTTTACAAAATATGTTAACTCACCAATATGTAAAAAGCTCAATACTAAAATATAGATGAGAAAACCGTTGGCGCTATATAAATACTGTATAATAATAATAATAGATATAAATATAGTGAACAAAAACACTCTGTTCTATTGTTCTATCTTCTCTGGATTACCTCTATGCTTCTAATAGTGCAAGCAGGAAAAAGCAAAATATGTTTTTCTTCCAGTTTCTAAATATACTCAGTTAATGTTGCCTGTTACATGAATCAAGATTAGATCCTGGCAATGATTACAAATACTGATCTGAGTCATAGTTGAAAGCCAGTCTGGGTACACTAGCGCAGTTTAATTTACTGCACAAAAAGCACCTTCTAAGTTTTCTGGGTTTCCATGTTTACACCCAGTCAGCATATTTATTACACAATAGGTTGAAAAACACTTTTTGTAACAACATTATCATTTCAGAAAACCTCCTAAACAAATGTAGAAAGGAGACAATGAATGGAGAATGTTCTGAATCTGATTGTATTAAATCAAATCTCCCTGGTTTTCAGAAAAGGTTTAATATTCTGGAAATTATATTTCTATCCTTTACTTTAGACATAGACCAGATTACTGGTCTATGCAAGTATGCATGTAAAATACAATGGTATGTGTATTTTTTGTGAGGCAGTGGTTTGTAACACTTCCTTACTTGAAGATGCTGCTGGTGAAGAAATACTTTGTGATGATCCAGAAGCAGCAGAAAGTGTGCTTCCAGAATGAGAACTCTGGAGGGAAAAGCTACTTGCACTTTTATTATAGTCCTCATCATTTCATTCCATAAAGTATTTTTAATGTGGGGCACCTCTGGCATGCAAGGATGTGTTTTGTTATCCTTGTAGCATTTGCAAAAGAATATTCACAATATTTGCAAATTGCAGTTTTGCTCTCAGCAGAAATTGCACCGTGGAAATGTTCCTAAACGTTAGATGTTGGTTTCACCATTTTACGAAGAGGAGGAAAAGAAAAACTGACCAGACTATAGGTAAACATTATGCTGTGATGGTGGAGGACATTAATAGGAACCATTTAAAGGTTATAAAGATAAACTAATTTGTCAGACAAATTCACCCTTTTACCTGTCAATTAAGGCCTGAGAGGACAGAAACTATCATCTACTGTATCCCAACAATCTCCAAACTGTAGGAGTTACAAAATGGAGCCCAAAAGCAAACTAAACTGGAGCCTTTCCCCTGCAGTGCCCCTTGTGGCAGATATGCATATTTCTCGTTTGAGAACTACATTGAGAAGTACAGTGTTACTTGAATTGTAGTCCATGAATTGCTTGTCTTCAGCAGAGAGAACTTGCAATAATTTAGGACTTTACATAAAGTCTCAGAAATCTTTTATTAGGGTCTTTGTTATATAGTTTGAATACCATGTCATAGATATATTATTTATCATTGTAAAAAAACATATTCCACACATATTCTGTCTTTATTTTCCAATTTTTCAAAGAAAAAATCAAAAATGGCTATGGAAAAAAAAAAACTTTTTTCCGGGCTTTCCCATTTCTCATCAGGTAACGCATCTGAACGTCATGATGAATAACTGCCTAGTGTAAGTGTTAAAGAATAAATGAGTATTTAAGGTAAAAAATATACCTACAGAGATTAAACAAAGTACTTTAATTTTAAAAGCAATCTGCATCCACACCCATTTTTTTTTAAAGATTAGCTCTATCACTTTATTTCATAAAGGCTGTAGCAGAAAACATGATAGATCCTGTGTCATTTTAAAAGCAAAGTTTTGAGCCATGTCCAGCTACTTATCAAGTTAGAAGCTACTACACAATATATTATAAACATTAGCACACCTGCATTATAATGCAGGAAATCCCTGCACAGAGCACACACTTCATTAGTGCCAGTGTTAATTACAGGAGTGGACCTGATTGGGAAGTGATATAATTCAAATGTCCTGTGAGTTCTACATACTACAACACGCTGCCAATTACCATACTGTATGTGCAGACCAGGTGGACACTTACCATATTTAAAGACTTACCATATTAAAAAGCATTATAATATATATGATTAACAGCAAAGAGTGGGACCTCAAATCTGCTGTGATTTAACTCAGATGCAGACGTGATGGGGAATATTCCCTCAAACTCCACAGCTTCACACACTACCGAAGTGATATTACAAATAAACATTAGGACAGCAACCCGCTGTCGCTCAATGAAGAGCAGGACAATGAGGTTGACACATCTTCTTTTTTATATTTTTTTGTTTTACCTACACTGAACTGTTACTCATGATACAATTTACATTGTTATTTTAAGCCATTGTGCGATAAAATAAAATCACACTTTATTTTTATTTCGCCGGCTCTTTAATTATCCAAAATCGCCTATAGACACTAAAGAATTATTATATGTCTCAGAAAATTCTACACTATCCCACCAGACATTCTCTCTGCTGTGTTAGGCAAAGCGGACTCCATGAAGTACAAAGGATTTAAATCGCAAGGCCTACATTTTATAAATGAGCTGTAAAATGCAGGCTACGCAGTATTGAGTAATATTGTGGAATATAACAAAGAAAATATTGATATCCATTCTAAATCGGCCCCACGTATGTGTATGAGCAAGCTAGAGATGTTAGATTTTGAGATTCCTAGGGGTTAGAAACTGATTTTTTATAGTTCTATGTACTGTGTTGCATAACATTTTGCATCTAAAAATACAGGTAATAAATAGTGGAGTGGCGATTTCAATTATTACAAATGGCTATTTTGACTTAAAACAAATATGGCTCCTAAGTACATACCTAAACTTTCTCCACCCCATTTGATTTCAAGAAATGAGTCACTTTTTCTGTAGGTGAAGTACCACTGCTGAAAGTGACTGTATAAAGGGGTGTTTAAATAAATTCCACAGGGGAACAAGGGTTTTTCCTTAACTGGGCTATGGAATACTACATTAACCCTCAATACCAGTGCTTTAAATTACAATCTATCCATCTACAACATCATAAGTGAAATGAAGGGTTTATTTTTTTGTTTTTTGTTTTTTTTTGCATGGTTGTATTGAGCAAACAACTAAGGTATAATTTATTTAGCTTCTTCCACATGTATTACCTGGCTTCATCGGGATGGCTAACACGTACAGAATCATTGGGAATGTAGATCATGCTAGTATCTTCAACTTTGTAGATTGCGTGACCACCAATATCAGCCATTTTTCGCCTTTTAGTGATCAGCACAATGTAATAGCCTTCTAAAAACTGAACAAATCCTAGAAACAAAAAAGAATTACAAGCTTAGTACCAGGCAATGTTCACATCTGATTTTCCCCTAGTCCCTGTACTGTAATGCACAGGCATGTCTATAGATTAACTGAAATGAACTGGAAAGCTCAACTGGCTTACTTCTGTTCAAGAATAACTACATATCTAAAACCCAAGAAAATCTACAAACTGTGGCAAGCAACTATGATAAAATAACATATATGTAAATGTTTAGTTTAGAGGAAGGAATAATATGCATTCAAAAATCAATGGCTCCATATGTAAGGCACCCGTATGTTCATTTGTTACATTTCCATATTGAAAAATGTCATTAAGTACCTGCTGAAGGCAAAGATACTGTCCATTTCGAAGCAAGGTATTTTCTAACTAGAAAAACCAACAATGCAGAGCTCTGACTATAAATTAGAGGGTTTATGAATGATCCTACTATCCAAATAGGAATGTTAATGGTGCAAGTTTCACATGGTATCAGTTTCCTACTGAATTATAGAGCCTTTTTGGTGTGTACGATACCATACTAAAGGGGGGGGGGGGGCATTAGCAAGTAGATCACACAGCCCCACGGGCATTATTTTACCCTTTGAGTCCAGACACAGATCTCGGTTTATAAATGTGTATACAGGCTGCCAAAAATGTGAATCAAGATTACAGCCTCATGTAAAACTGCAAACAATAAATAAATGAATAAACACCATAAAATACAACCATCGTCCAATGTATCAGTAGGTCCCATTCAAATAATAGTTGCTTAAAAACAAAAGTTAAATGAGCAGGTGCTGGTACCATTAGTAACAGAGAAACACATGACCACTTCTAAGTAGTCCAGGTGACCCCACATGGCTTTACACTCTCCACAATGGATGGACCTTCCATTACTAGATAGGTCTCACAGCATTTTTTTTTAGTTGGACTCACTGTGTGTCTTGTCATCAACTTGACCATTAACATGTACCAGGATGGGATTCCTTACAATGCAATACACTGTCACTCAAAACACAGCATCAGGGAAAAGGTTCACTGTGCAAAGCAGCTGACTTTATTAAAGCATATAAAATCTTGCAATTACACTGGACTCACATGTATATGTGCCTAGGGACCAGCACCAGGTATATACAGTGCTTATGGTTAAGGTGGCTGCCAACGCCCCAAGACCAGAAGCTGGCTTGCGCTCCAGGGATGAGATGTGACATATCGGCTGGGGAAATTTGCACAAGCACCTGTTCACCTATATTTTTGTTTTTTAAGCATTATTTGAATGGGACTTACTGATACATTGGGCATTAGTTTTATTTTTTTTCTGCACTTTTACTTTTAGGCAAACCTTTTAGTAATCTTGATTCAGATTTTTGGCAGCGCGGTCTATATACACATTTAAAGGGTTCACGAAGGTGGAAATTAGACACATTTTCAAGAAGGCAGCAGCCATAATAATTTTTATTTATGTTTTTTTTTTTTTTCGGTTTTGCTTGTGGAACAGAGTTTTCATTGTCATAGATCTAGGTTTGTTCCAAGCATGTTTAAATTCATTACTGCCTTCACTACATCTGCTGTAAGTCTGTTTCAGGCATCAACTACTCTTTTGTAATATTAATAACATGAATGGAGGGAAGTGTTCTACATTCATGGATTTTTACCCTGTATGCTAATAAATTTATATTTTACCACAAGTACTTAGTTGGGTGCTGGCTTCAATATATATTTGGATTTTGCTGGCTACATTAGCCTTCAGCTGTTGCACCAGCCTTCTTTGTAGGTCTGGGTTGTGTGCAGTGAATTCTTTTCATTGCATGTGTAATCTTGGAGGAGACCAGCACCAGGCTGTTACCTGAGACCAGGACCAGGCTGCTAACTGAATAAAGTTTGCAACACCTCTATTACACATCCCCTGCTGGTGGTGCTACTGATGTAGCCTTCTTGCCCGCCAAGTGTAGCAGAGTTGCTTGGGACTTCCCTGCTCTCTCCATCTCCTCCATCAGGAATAGCTTTGTACAAGCACATTAGAGACACCTCCTCTTACCTTTCTCTTCCCTCTTGTGTGGTGGGATGTACTTAGTCATTTTGGTCTTGTAATGTGGATCCAGGAGAGAGACAGAAGACCCTTGGAGGGGTCATCCTCAAAAACGAGACAGGAAATTTTTAACTGTAAAACTTTTACAATTTATCTCTTTTATTTTATTCATTTATGTATGTATTTGTGTGTTTTTTTATCTAGCTTTTTATTATTTTAAATGGTGCATTGGTGCAGTGTAAATATGCATTATAGGATATCTCACCAAATTTCCTTATTAGAATCGCAGTTGTTCAGTTTGAGCATTCCTGAGACAAATATGCGACATTCAGGAAAATGTCACTTTTACCCAAAAATGAACAGCAAAACTACACAGCAAGGACAGAACTAAGGAGAAAAAAAATGTTTATTCAACACAGCCACTGCTTTTCAAAAATATTTCTGATGTCAACACAGGATGGCTGACCAAATGTCACTCATGATTCATCTAGAGCCTGAAATTATTTTGAATTTGAAAAAGACACAAGGCTGTGTTTTATTTGCATAATAGGCTCCAAAAATGAGTAAACACTAGATCTTTAAGCAGGTAAAAAAGGAAGGAAAAAAGAAAGCCGTGTTATACAGCTTCAAATGGCCCTCTGTGTAGCAATTAATGAATAAAAAACATAGTAACAAGGCTGTACTATAAAAGCAATTTGGTGACAGTTGCATGGAAATGCACATGCGTTTTAACTGTTCACATGTACAGAGCTAAAAGGCACAGTTGTTTCAGCCAGTGTGCAATGCTTAGAACTTAAATACAGCCTTTCATGTGTTACTCATCAATGCAGCCAGTTCTAAAGTACCTGATTCATATTTTCAATAACAAGAAGAGATGTGGTATAAAGCTCATGTGTACCACTGAAAAAGAAGAAGAGTGCTGCTATAGCAAATGAATGTTCGGGAAATTGATAAAAACATCTCCTCCTGCTGAACGAGCTGCTGTAGTGTAGACACTGGAGTGCCTACTTTTATCCATACTGACAATTTTACCATTGCCATTCTTCTAACAATGACTTTAAAAGGAAAGCCGTGTTCTACTTGAACACTTACAAAGCAACTCAGTATTCAGATTGTGATGGTCTCATAATGCTTATTGATTCATGTAAATCAAAATCTATGGATGATCTAAGAATGGTCCCTGGCAGTAGTTGCTCTAGGTTTCCTGTGATGTTGCCAACAGCAGCCTTCCTGGAAATACTGAGTACCTTCCTCCATGAAGAACCCGGAATTATACTTATCTAGCCAACTTTCTGTGTTCATTAGTGTTTTCAGTCACTAACCCAGAATGACTATGCAGATAAGTACTTCAGACTATGGTGTCCTTTTATCATGTAGCAGTAAATGACGACTGCTCAGTTCTCTGGCATTCTCAAAGGAACAGTTCTCCTCTGAATGCCTTTTTAAGAAGCAGTGTAGATCACTTCTCCTAATGAGGAGAGAAGCAATCTACAAATACTCTGAACGCTAGAAAACGGCTGCTGTTATTATAATCTCACGAGATTACAGTAAGAGATCAATCAAACACAGTTTACTAAGCAGCGGTAAATTATCGCTGTTTTGTTTGCGATTCCTCCGATTCTCCACCTCTGGGCTGGAGAATCTGGAGGGAGAACACAGATCACCAATGAAGGGCTGACATCGCTCCTTCATATACTGGCAGTCTGTGTGTTAGATGATCAGTGGAGAACATGTTCTCCCGCTGATCATCTATGTTTCCTAAACCACTAATGATCTGAGATCAGCAACGATCCTCAGGATTGCCGCTGATCTCAGTTTCATAAAAGGACACCTATATTATGACTTTTCTGATATGCATATTTGTTCCAGGTCAATAACATACAATGTATTAAAGTCAAAGGGTCAGCATAATTGCCAGGTAGCAAGCATTTTCAGAGAGAGACTAGCATTGGCAGCCTTCATGCTTTTCTCTAAGGAAAGCTTTACTTTAATTCTAAGTATGAAAACACTTAAAGGCTATATACTTGTAAATAATTTTATCAAACAGTGATGGATGGAGGCATATTGTGGTGGCAGTAAGTACCAATGCTAGCCTTCAGTTTATTCCAGCTTTGTCAGCCTGAGGGGGAGAAGTCCTTGAAAGGAGGTTCCACTAGGGATTCTGAAATGTGGTGTGACACATTTGGGATGGATTCATTTCCCACCCAGCAGCACTTGCATAGTTCTGGTACCAATGTCATTTTGATGCAGGGCCATAACAGCATGTTCTTCCTTTTCTCGGTTAAGCACTCATTGACACCAATAATCGTTCAAGCATTCTTACCGTGGAAAACCAATGTAAGGGAGTTATTCCCCTACTGATCACAAATGGATAGGGCAATCTTACAATGACCATCAATGAAAATACACCCTTCCCTCACTGACCACAAATGTAAAGAGAGCAATACCCTGACCACAAAAGTAAGTGGGGGAGGGCCTTTACATGGACCACCAATGTAAGACAACACTACAGTTTTTACTACATTTCTACACTAATAATGTTTACGATTATTACAGAAAATAATTTTGCCATATAAAGGAAGGTGACTGTCAAAAAATAACCCACCCCAGGTATGAAATATGCCAGGTATGCCACCGGGCGTCAGGCGATGTACTGCACAGAGGGGAGCACAATAGCCTGGTGATGATAGCCTTTCCCTCCTAATTACCTCAACCAAGGTCCTTAGGCGATGCAGATTGTGGGAATACAAAATAGGACACAACTGCTGGCCTGCCCAAGCATAGGTTTCACATTAAAAAGGCAAACTGGATTATTTATTCTTTTATTTAATATTATAGTTACAACTTACTAAATGTATTGACAGCCACGGATATAATAATGTTGATGAAGCTGTTCTCTAGGATTTTAAATATTCAGGAGTTCCTTCAGGGTAAAAAGGTTCAGAAAGGCTGGTCTAATCAATCCTTGTACAATTTCCTGTGCATGCCATTGTCCAGCCTCAGCACAATGCAATGCCTTCACTTCAACTGCAGTTGTTACATTGGGCAGTTGTTAGTTCAGGCTCTGCTCTCTTTTACTCAAACCTGTGGCAAATACAGCATATACAAGTGGACAAAGATGTTGTAATATCACAACTTTCTTTCAGCAATGTTCCCTTATCGCACTACCCGACAACAGGACCTGGCTGACCTAACAGCAGCCTGTGCAATGCTACAAAACAGTATGTCTATTGCATAAGCATGTCACTATTTACACTTTAGAAGGACAGCAAGTGCCTCTGGTTGGAGATATCTCTGCGAGAAAGGTACAGCTATTAGTTTGTGTGTTGAATGTGAGACATTGTAAGACATATCACTAAAAAGTGTAGCAAAGGCACTGCTCTGGATCAGCTGATTTTCTGATGATTGGCTTTGCTTTTGTTGACGGCACACCGGCACATCATACTGGTGGCACTTTAATCCTGCCTGTTTGTTAGAGTGGGTTTTTCCTTTTAACTCATTATATATAGACTTAAACAAGATCACAGAGAAGCGTTCTACAGTACTCATATCAGTAGCAATGTAGGTTTTTAAAAATGACAAGAATCAGGTATGGAGAATTGGAAAGCTTACAGATATCATACTATGTAATTGGGTACAATGAAATTGTAAAGTCTGATACTGTACCCACAATGGGTAGCAATGAAAGGTTGCTGTACTAAAGCTGAGATAATCTCGTCAAGCCATCAATTTTTTATTAAAGTAGAAAAAAATAGTAGGAGGAACCGGGAAATACAAAACAATAAAGAAAGAAATGGAAGGGGGTAGGGAAAAGGGAGTGGGGGAGGGGAGTAAATAAACAAGGGGTTGGGGGGGCAGGTGGGAGGCCACCGGGGAGCCAATAAAATATGGAGATTAAAGGGGATGGAATCCTAACAAGTTTTATCTCGGGTAAAACTCCTTCACTCCACTTGGCCATCAGCCTGTTGCCCTCCTCCAAGAACATATCATGCCAGTTCCAGTTCCGCTGGTTTTTTTTTAGAAAGGCTTCTTGCATATCTTTTTGAGAACAAGTCAGCTCCTCCATTCTCCTAATAGTCTTGACCTGCTGAAGCCACACATTTAGATTGAGGGTGGAGACTTTGACTTCAAGCAAGCAGGGATGCAGGACTTTGCGGAGCTGAGAAGGTATATTAAAATTGATTTCCAGTAAGTTTCCATAGGGATCACATTATGATGAAGGACAAAAAGGCTGGATCTCTGGGTAAAGTGAAGTTTGCAAATTGTTGAGCTATTCTTTGCAGAAAACAGAAAGCTGTCCTAGAAAACTGTGAGCTTGAGGCAGTCCCAGAAAATATTTAATAAGGTTCCTTTATCCACTCCGCATCTCCAACAGCAGTCTGGGATAGAGGGCTTGCATTCATGGAGTAGTGATGGGGTCCTTTACCACCTAGTAATTATTTTGTAGTTGCATTCCTGGATCTTAGTGCAGAGTAAAGATTTAAACATGAGAGATGCACTTTCTGGAGATGGTCTGAAGACAAGGTAATATTTTGAATCTGTTCCCAAGCAGTAATGAAAGAAGGGCAGTCATCATAGTGACTGACATGGCCAGGGAGAAGAAAATGTATGATAAAGAGTGCCTAAATGTGCCCTCCCCAGCACATCATTTTAAATTCAGAGAGTCTATGGTAAAATTCAGCAGGAGGCGTAGAGAAAGCAAAAAGTGACACAACTGAAAAGCCTTGGAAGGTGGAATCTACCCGTAGGGGACGTCAAGTTGCACAAGGAAGGTCATTCTGAATCAACCAGGAAGTGAGAGGCGGTGAGAGTGCTGGCTTCCCTAAGCACTTGAAAAGGGTTGGAAAGTTTTGTTAACCTTACTTTAATAAATAACTGTGAAGAACAACACCATACTAATGCACTCTGGTTTTCTCTAGTGTTTTGAAGCCGCAGATGCCTCCTGTTTCTTGAGTTGTGAGGCTATTAGTACCAAAGTTTTGCTACCAATATTACCATTGACAATGAAATTGGTAAACAAATGACCAAGCAACTTGAACTGGGACTTTTTTTCGGTCTTCTAGTATGAAATGTACCTCTGAAACTTGTGTGTTTGCAAATGTTTTCAGTTAAAATTTATTGAATGGAATTGGGATTTTTTACAACATTGCAACATACGGGCTTTTTAAAAGTAAGCATTGAACAATAATAAAGTACAACTAAACCCAAACTTTTTTTTTTTTTGGTATTGGAAAAATGGGGAGGGATTAGAATGCTTGTAAGTTTTTAATGTTGCCTGTGCCCACGTTAAGGAGATTTGCTCTCTTTATTTATCCTGTTTACCGTTATCATTAAAAGTGCAAGTAAATGGAAATCGCAAATTGTGAAGGCTCCATAAAGGTAATAAAGGGAAAATCTTCCAATGGGGACGCTGCTTCTGGTGACCTGGTGGTCCCTAAGAAATTTCTATAATTTGCAGGGATTTCCTCTCACTTCCTCTTTGGTTATAGGACAAGAAGTGAAGGGTAATCTCTGCAATGGGACCCAGATGGTGAAAAAAAAAATCTGACAGTGGTTACAACCCTAACTTGCTATATCCAAAATGAAAAAAAAGAGTTTTGCCTATAGTTTTACTTTTAATCATTTGCGCTCCAATGAATTTAAACCCCCCCCTCCTGGTCAGACCATTTTATGCAATGCAGCGCTGCGTTACTTTAACTGACAATTGCGTGGTCATGCAATGTTGTACATAAATGAAATTTATGTATTTACGTCATTTTTTTCCCCACAAATATGGCTTTCTTTTGGTGGTGTTTGATCATCGCTGCGTTTTTCATTTTTTTTGTGATATAAACAAAAAAAGCCGAAAATTTTGAAGAAAAAAAAACAATAATTTCAACTTTTTGCTATAAAACATATCCAATAAATATTTAAAAAAAAAAAAATCAAATTTCTTATAAATTTAGATCAAAATGTATTCTGCTACATGTCTTTGCTAAAAAAAAATCCCAAGTGTATATTAATTGGTTTAAGTGAAAGTTATAGCGTCTACAAATGGCGGCATATATATGCTGGATTTTTTTTTTTATATACTAGTAATGGTGGCGATCAGAGACTTATTAACAGGACTGTGAAACTGCATCAGGCATTCTGACACTGGGTGGGAACTAACTGCCACTGACATCCCCAGGGACACTAATACAGTGATCAGTGCTAATAAAAAGCACTGACACTGTACTAATGACACTTGAAAGGACAGAATTAACATCAGGGGTGATCAAAGGGTTAACTGTGCTGTATTTTACTAGGGAGACCTGCTGTGCAGAGAGATACAAAACAGCATGTCCATGCTGAAAGCAGAGAGACCAGTGTTATTTACACACAGGTCTCTTCCCTGTCAGCTTTCCCCAACCAGTGCCAGCTGGGACCTGGTGATTGACATCTCTAGCCGCCAATAGTGGCGTGCGCAAATCTTACCCAAAAATGCAAATCACATATATATGCATGATTTTGCACAGCCCTGCCGCCCTGTAGCAGTATTTCTGCTATAGGGCAGGGGGCAAGTCGTTAACATATTAAAATAAAAACCATAAACCCCCAAAGTCTCAAACCCTTTTTTTTCTTCAAAGTAATTTACCACACATATGATCTGTGCTGATTTTTGCTTGAAATGCCTTAAAAAAGTTAAAATGCTGCTTTTCTCTCCCACTCCAGTGCTCAGTGTTCCCATAGCAGATAACAACTATGCACAACTACAACACTGCAAGTGTCCCTACACAGACATGTACAGTATCTGCAGAACAAGAGAGCGCATGTCTGAACAGGTCTGTTACAGAATATTACAGAATATTGTTTGCAGAATGAACTAGGTCGAACTGTGATCCCAGTTGGACTGCATAAGTATTATTTAGACACTCTGCTCAACTACTGTAACAAGAAAGTGAAAAGTAGGACATGAAAACAGAGTTTGTGAGTACACTATCTATCTGCTTGTATATATCCATTTCTGTGGCTTCATTATAGTTTTATGTAATAATCAAACATTGGTACAATAAACTTACCCACAATTCCAAAAGCTGACACAGCTCGGGATAATCCTGATGACCCTTTTTGTCCCATTTTTGTCCGGTTTCCAAGATCAAGGCGACCAAGGAGCTCACGTACTTCTTGCTGGTTGTATACATGCTTAAATAAAAATAATTATTCAAAATGTCATTTGATTAACTTGTAACGGATCAAACAAAAAGAAACTTGTTTCTTTGCCTGCATGCAATAGAAATATCTTTTTTTACAATATCCTATTATCTCAAGCCTGTGCTCTAAGGTGTACCTTTACAGAACGCAAAAAGATGGAACACAAAACACTTTCAGGTATCATAACATTCCACAGTGAAAACGATTTTCACAGTGACCATGGCCATGACGCAATGTCCTCATCCTTAACTGATTTTTAATGTGGTCACAAAAAACTACAATTTCACTGTACATATGAACCAGCTTGTTAAAAGTTTATTAACACTAAACTGGAAAGGGCACTCAGTAAACATTTAAACTGTAAATTAACCACTTCAAGTCCGGACACTTTCACCCCCTTCCTGTCCAGGCGAAATTTCAGCTTTCAGGGCTATCACACTTTGAATGACAATTGCGCGGCCATGCAAGACTGTACCCATATGAATTTTTTAGCATTTTTTTTGAGACAGATACCGTATTTTTCGCCGTATAAGACGCACTTTTTCTTCCCCAAAACTGGGGGGGAAATGTCAGTGCGTCTTATGGAGCGAATATGGAGCGGCCGGTCCGGTATTTCCACCGCGGCCGTGTCAGAATACGGGCCGGCCGCTCAGCTCTGCAGCGGGACCTTACCTGTTCCTCTATCCAGCGGCGTGCTGTCTTCCCGGCTTCTGTAGTGTGGGCACTGGGCATGACAGCCGGGTGCCAAGTGTGCATGCGCAAGAAGCGGTGTTTTTTGTGAATGGTAAGGCGGTACCTGGGACACATGACAGATCCCAGAAGCCGCCGGACCAATCACAAAGCGCAAGTGCTTCTCGCTCATGCGCACTGGGCACCCGGCTGTCATGCCGAGCGCCATTACAGAAGCTGGGAAGACAGCGTGCGGCTGGATCGAGGAACAGGTAAGATCAAACAAAAACTCTGCGGAAGTAACAGCGGGTACCTGTCAAATTCAGGTACCCGCTCCCCACCTCCCCAAAGGTCAGCAGTCATCTGTACTGTCCGCAGTACTGGTCATCCCTGTGCTGTCCGCAGTCTCTGGTCATCCCTGTGCTGTCCGCAGTCTCTGGTCATCCCTGTGCTGTCCGCAGTCTCTCCTGTACTGTGTCTGCAGTCTCTGGTCATCTCCTGTACTGTGTGTCTGCAGTCCATTCCTGTACTGTTCAGCAATCCATTAGTTTTTTTTTCCTGTTTTCTGCTTCTAAAACCTAGGTGCTTCTTACGGTCAGGTGCGTCTTATACGGCGAAAAATACGGTAATACTTTATTTTGGTGATATTTATTCACCACTGGGACATTTATTTTTTTTGCTATATAAATGAAGAAGTCCAAAAATATTTAATAAAAAGTGTTTTTCTTATAAAATTTTGCAAATAAATAATCTTTCTTCAAAAATATTGGCCAAAATATATTCAGCTATCTTTTTAGTAAAAAACCAAAAACACTAATAACCCAAATTAGTTTATAATGAAAAATTATAATTTTTCTAAATTTTTTGTTACTTTTTTTTTTTATTTTTTTGTGGGTTTTTTTAACATACTGTCACCCTAGCAGTACAGTGTCACCATAGTGACACTGTACTACTTGTGGGGGGTGATGAAGATTTTTTCTTCTTTTTTTACCCCGATTGCTTTTACACCCATAAAATCGTTTTATAATATCTGGGGATCAAAGGGTTAACTGTGTGTGGTTTTACTTTGAGGCTGTGTGCGGTGTTTCTCCATCAGCACACTGCTTCAAATGGCTCTGCTATGCAGAGCCACACAAAACTGTGTGCAGAAGCTGACGTGAGAGATCTGTGTTGTTTATACACAAGTTTCTCCCCTGTAGGAGATACTCGGCGATCACCAGGTGCCGGTGAGAAATCACTGGCCGGGACCCGGTGATTGACAGCCGAGGCCGCGAATGGCGTACGCGCGCCCCCTACCCGGAACTGCAAAATCACATATATATATATATATATATATATATTTATATATATATATATATACATACATACATACATACATACATGTGATTTTGCGCACCCGTGCCTCCCTGTAGCAGTATTTCTGCTATAAGGTAGCGCGGAAAATATTAATATAACAAAGGCTAACAAAAACGAGAATAGTCAGACTGTTTTTAATGTTTTCCTAGAGAAACATTAACGACTCTGAAACTGCTCTTTGCCTGGCTGTTATGCACATCACCTGTGAAAAGCAGATACATACATTTTTCTGACTTTCCTGATCTGCATAGTTGTTCTGAATCTGAGGTTGCTTTGATACTTTTGTGAACAAATTAACCCCTTCACGCCTAAGTGTAAAACACATCTTAATGCCTAAGCAATCTTGCAACTTTGACATGTGTTAGTAAAACCGTCCATATCACCACAACTACTTTGTACATCAGGTGAATTACACCTTGTTTTTTTCAGGACAAATTGGGTTTTTCATTGGCGGTAAATGGTAATGGATATCTGCTGATTTTTTTCTTTATTATCAAAGGATAACTGGCCCAAAATAGTAAAAAAAAAAATATTTTTTTTAATTTAGCTGCGTGTTTCTTATTTACTATCATAACCTACCACCAAAGAACAACCCAAAATAAATTGTCTAGCTCTTGACGATCGCAGCGATACCACATATGTGTTATGTTCTTTGTACCCACAGTACAGCCCAGAAACAATAGTGCACGTTTTGTTGTATTACCTAAAACATACTGACACCAATTTAAAAAAAATTAAAAATCCTGACCTTTGACCCTGCCCAAACAGTAACTCTGGCACTGAACTAAATCAAATCTTGATCTAGGTATTTTTTCTTTATTTTTTAATATTTATCTTTTTTTTTTTTTAATAAAGTTTTTTTTTTTTTTTTTTTTTTCAGAGAGCTACTGCAGCCCTGCTCTCTGTCAGTGATTGCCGCTAATCGGCAGGACACAGCCGGTAATGACCAGCTGTGTCCCGGCGACTGACACCCGCGGCTGGGTTTTGTTTTGCAAAAGCGTGTTTTAAAACGTGCTTTTGCCCAGCCCTGCCGCCGTATTTCTACAGTGGCTGGGCGGCAAGTGGTTAAACGAAAAAAAAAAAATGGGGGGATGAAGATGAGTAATGTTACTTTCCCCAGGTCTACCAATAGTGACTGCAGATAATAGAATTAAGCAGCCACCACTTGGCTACCCCTGCAACAAATCTGCATACATCTGCCAACAATTTTTCTCTTTTATTGGATCAATGTCTACTAAAAAACATGGAAGGAAAGCCAACAAGCACAGGAGATATTAAACCTGATGTGGCTTCTTTGTCCTCTTCTTCACTGTGATGCTTAAAAATCTGCAAACCAGACCTGTATCTGATTTTGTGGGATCAACACACCTAAGAACCATACTGCAAATAAACCAAATACAGACTTGGTACACAAAAAACAATTCTAACCATACCGATTTAAACGGATACAACGGTTATGTTTAAAAAAAAAAAAAAAATAACTATTTATACTACTCACTGGATTTATATTCTGCTCCACTCACCTTATCATCAATAATTACCAGGTCTTTTGGTTCAGTCCGATCAATTTTCAGAACACGATATTTTGTTTCTGCATGATTGCTCCCCACAAGAAAATACCTCTGAATATAAAAAAAAACAAAAAAAAATTCTTAATTAACTTCTGGCTTTGTTTAGCTTTTAAAGTACATTTTTAATCAATAGGAAAATACAAAGCAGACACCATTTAACGTGCATGCAATTCAATGTAATACAAAATGCTTTTTGAAAACTAGGCGCTTTGAGGTAGTAAAAGGTGAATTAAACCCTTGAATTTCTTTTTGGATATTAAAACAAGTAAAGACTGTAAAAAAAAAAAAAAAAAAAAAGAAAAAGAAATAATTTAAGCATGTGCTGGAAGCACGGGGTGGGCGTGCTGGAATCGTGGAAGAAGGGGTAGAGGATCAATTTTTTGTTTCTAATGCCAGGGGTTAGAAAAGGGCATTTTTTTTTTTCATTAACCTTAGGAATTAAAATCTGCAGCTGAAGTGGACACGTGTATTTATATAATTAAGAAAGTCCTGGACTTTGCTGCTGCCCCAAGTTTAAAGTGTACTTCCACTTTTGCAGCCAGATTGGGATTACACTTACTTTACAGTTGTTGCATATCCCCATTAACACAACACACTTTAAAAAAAAAATTAAATTGCTGGTTACATTTATAAGTGCTTTTTACTAAAATCCTTACATCATCTTCCTGCTTTGTAATGTTTAGGTAGGGGCTGTGCAGTAATATTTAACATATAATTTTATTAAGAGTGCCACAGGAGGAGTGAGAACACCAACACGTAGGTAACACACAAAAATTTCATGGTGCCTGAAAACAGAGCCAGGAATTATGGAACTGAGATCTCAATTGCTAGAGCCCCAAGAAGTATGAGAAACCAGTAAGTGAAACAGCTTGCCAAATAACTTTTGGGTGGAATGACCCTTTAATGTGGCCCCAGAAAATAATAGCAACCACCTACATATATGGTCTTTGAAAGAGCTCATTAAAGTGTCACTAAAGCCACGTCATTAAAAAAAATATCAATAAATGTACTACATGCTGTTCATACTCACTCAGTCACTATGAGTTTCATTTTCTGTATTCTGCAAAAAACCTGTTTGATCCTGCTGCTCTCTATTTCCATTTTCTGTTCATGTCCCCAATTCAGCTAGGGATTTTGCAGCTGTAGTGGCAACTCTGCACATGCTCAATTTTCAGTGAGCTTCTATGCTGAGTATTTTCCCCTATGTGACTAGAGAATCACAAATGTGGGCGTATACACAGTGGTAAATAACAGCCCACTCCTTCGCTCCTCCTCCATGCCCACTAACCAACTAAACACAATAGGGGTGGAATATTACATAAGGATTAATTGTTGATTCACCTCCCTCTTATTCTAAGACACAGGTTGCAGGGGTGAGACACAGCCTGTGACTGGTAAAAATCCACCCACACCATGTTATTTCCACAAAATAATAAAGATTTGATTTTGAATGTATATTTTTATGCCAATGTAAAGCAGTTTATTGATATTTAATTTTACTCAGTATTCCAAGGCTGTTTTTTTTTTTTTTATTGTGAACATGTGACCAGCAGCAGAGGACTAGAAGCTGCTCCTGCCACTGTTTCCTTCAGACAGGCTGGAAAAGAGCTGGGCCATGTGACAGCTGTATATCGATTAGGAAAAATTCACTTAGATGGGGTTTTTTAAATTAAAATAATTACAGTGCCATCATCCGCATACAGAAATAGAAGGGATAATGTAAAGTAAACAGTGTGTGTGCTTAGTATCACTTTAAGTACAATGTGATTAATTATAGGCATTACATATAGAAATATATTTTGCCGACATGGATTTTTTGATTTGCAGAGAATAGCAGCACAGTGGGACTATTATCCCGTGAACTTGCTTAGTGAGGAGGACAAAATGTATTAGAATATGCACCAGGGTAATCTGTTACTGCCAAGTCTTCATCCAGTTATCTAATCTTTAAACTCTGCAAAGGTGGCTTGAGCCTCTGTGTTATTGGGTTCTCACTTCTAGACTAGAATTATATGTACTTTTACAGACAAAAATATAATGTGCCTGTGCCCAGACTATGGATATTAACTCCTTGGCACTGACAGCATATTTGTGTACCCAACGTAAAAAAACATGTACCGATAGTGCGCACTCTGGCTACATTTACATTTACCAGCGCCACATGGAAAGGTGATATTTGCTACTTGCGATCGGCAGCTTTCCGATCATGTGACCACTGTGACAGCCAATCACAGCAGTGATATGACCCTAAACCCTGCCCCGCCTCCAGGCTTCACAAACCCCTCAACCGCTTCCCGCCCGCAATGTACTGCGGCTGGGCGGCGGCAGCTACAGGCAAAGCGAATTACACGTACATCACAATGGCTGTACTAGCACAGGGGGGCACAGCACGCTTCCCCCCCCTCCACGACTGCTGTGTCTCGCGGACACAGCGGAATAAAGATCCCGGTGATCATGTGGCCCACAGCTGTCACATGATACATAGGGCCAATCATGTGTCCGGCACCAGCCAATCACAGATCACTATCTTGAGCTGTCAAAAGGTTCATGAATGAGTTAGGTTCATGACAGCAACCTTTGCAGGGCAGGCAAAATGCTCTTTATTTCTCCTGCAAAGCAAAGTTACTGTGGTAACGTACTATTCTGATAAAAGTATTAAGAAAAAAAAAAAAACAAATAATGTAAAGAAAATAAAAACTTTTTTTTATCTTTTTAAGGTTTTTTTTTTTTTTTTTACTACTTGCCAACCACTTACCCGAGCAGCAGCTATTGGAAAAGCCATGTAACCTTGCATCACTTCCTATTTTAGGGTGTGAACACACCTGCGCCCCCCCGCTGTCCCCCTGGACGGTCCAGGGAGAGTAGAGAGAACACGCCACTGAGTGAGTAAAAGCACTACATTTTACACATACACGTTAGATTAGAACATTTAACCCTTTGATCGCCCCGTCACCCAGCCATTGCCATTAGTACAGTGTCAGTATATAAAATTTTCACTGATCACTGCATGCCTGCCACTAGCAACATCAGATAACGGGGTCACACACTATCACACTCACACTATAGGTCGCTGATCACCCCCATTAGTAGTATAGTGTTTGTACGGATCAATATAACGATCATGAACAGAATTATACTAGTGCCTGCTTTGTATAGTGTCCCTAAAAGTGTTAGCATGATCAGACCCGTTCACTGCCAGCACTAGCATTTAGCCCTTCCACTGTTTTTCACGGAAGATTTGTACCAACTGATTGTGGGCCAAGGCAATTTATATTCACAATAATACATTGCTGCCCACCTAAATTCAGCTCTTGCCAGATAATTTGCATAGAAACCTATCACAGTTTCTGAATTTAAAACTTTTTTGGGACCTACATTCAACATGGGCATTACAAAAAAGAATAAATTGTGGTCATATTGGTCCACAGACCCGATTCATCATATGCCCATGTTCTCTGCTGTTTCATATATGCTCAACATGGACCAATGAAACTAATGTACTAATACGTTGCTGGTCCAGCATCCTGGTATAGTTTTTTTCAGCTGGTGGTCGGCTTTCATGTAAAAGCAATCCTAGTGGCCAATTAGCTGCTGAATTGTTTTTACAAGCAGTAGGAAGGGACATCCCCCCACTCCTGCTTCCTTCCACAGTTTTCTTGGGCTCTTCTGTCCCACAGGGGAATCCGAGAATGCAGCCAGCAGATCCGCTAGCTGACCATAGAGCTGATCAGAGACCAGAATGGCTCCAATTACCTCTACAGTCTAAGGAATCGGAAGCTACGAGCATTTTATCACTTCAGTTTCGCAGGATATAAACAGTGCTATTTGTAAACTGGGAAAGCATCTGATCACACAGATCTTGGATCTTGCATAGGCGATATCTAGAGACTAATAGACCCCAGATTTCTCAAAAAAGAATACCTGTCAATGCCTATAGCAGTCAGTGGGGATATTTACATTCCCTGTGATAGCAATAAAAGTAATTACAAAAAAAATAGTAATAATTAAAAAAAAAAAATCAAAATAACTAAGCACCTTTGCCCCCCTGTGCAGGGTGACCTGCGTGAGCAAGGGTTAACCCTGTGGCGGCATGTAAACAGAAGTTGCACCATATATGTGAGGTATCGCAGCGGACGTCAGATGGAGGACAGTAATTCTAGCACTAGACCTCCTGAGTAAATATAAATTGGTGACCTGTAAATGCTTTTAAAGCGTTGCCTATCAACAATGAAAATGTATGTACTTTGTTGCAATTGAACAGGCATGTGCAATTTTAAAGCATGTCATGTTTGGTATCTATTTACTCGGCGTAACATTATCTTTTATATTTTATCAAACAATTAGGCAATATATTGTGTTTTTGTGCATTAAAATTCTAAAAAGTGTATTTTTCCCAAAAGATTTGTGTTTGAAAAATCGGTGTGCAAATACTGTAAGTGACATAAAAAAAATGTCAACACCCAACATTTTATTCTCTAGGGCCTCTGCATTAAAAAAATATATAATGTTTGGGGTTCAAAGTATTTTCCAGCAAAAAAACTGTTTTTTTTCATGTGAACAAAAAGTGTTAGAAAAGACTTGGTCTTCAAGAGTGGGTGATGTGTGGCATAAGCTTCTAAGTTGGCCCTGAAATGCCAGGATAGAAGAAGCAATCCCCTCCAAATGACCCCTTTTTGGAAAGAAGACACTCTAAGGTATTTTGCTAAGAGGCATGGTAAGTATTTTGCAGATCTCATTTGTTGCCACGTTTTTGGAAAACGAACAAAGAAAACAAAGATTTATTTTTGCTTTACATTTTTTTCTTTTTCAAAACCCTGTGACAAAAATGACATCTGTAAAATACTCACCATGCCTCTTATCAAATTCCTTGGGGTGTCTACTTTCCAAAAAAGAGGTCATCTGGAGGGGGTGTTTGTACTATGCAGGAATTTTAGAGCCTCCGAAACTGTGATAGGTATTGGGGAAGTGATATGAGGAAATATTCCCTTTAAAAGCCTGGAGGTGATCTTGGGGGCCTGTATGTAGCTAGGCTGCCAAAAAGTCTCTCACAT